TATTCAAATTCCATTTGAAACATCTAGTGCAAGAATCTCGAATCCATATGATTGTATAATGTATTTTATACAGTGTTTTTGTTTTCCAGTGTAAGTGGAATTATCATTTTTTTCTCCAAACGACTGCGCCAACCACATCCTCACAGGCCTAGACCAAAGCACTGATACCCACACCAAGACAGAGCAGCCACAAAAGCCCAGCTCCAGGCCCCACAGGCCCCCGGTGTCAGCCTTTTCGGACACCAAGGCGCTTGTCCGTGCTGGGCTGCGGCCGTACGTCGAAGTGGTTGCTCACGGTACCCGTGAGCCACTGGACCTGTTGCTTCTGCTTCGTCGGATCGACGTCGACGGGTCGTGAGAGAATGAGAAGAAACGGTCTGTAAACGCTCAGCAAAGACTATACATGGTACCTGTATAATTCTCTGGCAAACTTTAGTGAACCTTACAAACAAAAGAAACTTCTAGAGCACCACAGAATATCGCAGAATCTCTGGATTTGCCAGGTCAACATGGCCTCTAACACAACTCACCTCAAGGAGGAAACCAGGTCTTGCAAAACATGACTTGCTACCTGTCATTGAAGGTCCTGGGGACTCTTTCGGAGGGGGGAGGGACCAGTCCAGTTCCAATCCAACCTCAGTCCTAAGAAAATGACAGTATCTCAAAAAGTGAATTGAGGGTTTAACAAAGGGCATCGCTAGAGTAACAAAGGGCATCGCTATACGAACGGAGCAAGGACGCTACTAGTAGCTCCTGGCATTACTTGTAGGAGCAAATAGCTAGTAGCTGTAAATTCAAGTTTCAGGGATCCTGGTGATCCCTGTAACAGTCCCGTCCCCATGTCCCAGCAGGTATATCAGTGTCAGATGTGTTGGAATTCTGAGAGGCTCCAGAATTTTGTGAAGAAGGCACAAGCGGGCGGGAGACAACACAAACAACTCCTTGGATGTTGAGGGGTGTCTATTTGGCAAGCTGTTTAAACTGTGGGTTTCTGATGGTTTCTGCCTATAGAACGAACACACAATTGACACTATAGGGTAAGTCAAAGTATTCAGGGAATTGCAACAAAATCCGAAAACAACGAATATCTTTGTGTACATTCTTCCAAGGGCCCCAACCTAATTTCCATCCAAGAACTTGACCTTTACACTGCTACCGGTTGGCCACAATGGGGCATGTGAATAGCATGTGGTCACAGAATGTCTTCAAAAAGACTTCTCCAAGGTGGTGATACAACCCCAAGGGTACGCATTGAACACTTCAAACCTTTCAAGAAGCCCATCCATGAAACACAATCATCGCCCTTTCGATTTGGCACACCATCCCCTTTGGATCCCCAATCTCCAGTGTCTTTTTGCCATTTATTGTTCCATGGTATATCCCCTAATGATACAAAGAACCAGTGTCTTTGGAGTGATCCTCTTGGGTATGCTGCATATATGCTCCTTCTATATACTGACTCGATCCATGCTTCGACCCTGCCTCCATCCTTTCCTTCTTTCGGAGCGGAGAAGACGCGCTCCGTCCGAGCTCCCGGGCCATGGACGTTTTTCCGGTGCTGTACTGGCCAAGCAGCAAGACCTCCGACCGAGCCCGAGCCCGGAGACCGAGCCGGGTGACACTGGAGGAGGATGAACCGCTCCATCTATCTGCGGCTTTTTCTCCTTCACACCTCCCTCCAGGCAGGAACCGGGTGCGCCTGCGGCCGCGCTTCGAACTCCTCCAGCGAGATGGGCGGAGCTCCGAAGTGGTCGTAGAAGGACCTCAAGTCCAAGCAACCAAGGTGATGTGATCTCATATATAACCTATCCCAGATTAGGTACCCCAGTATGGTCCTATGAGATCACTTAACCTCTCTTGGAATCTTCAAATCCTGGGAAGAAACACAACGATTACTCTTTTTCGCCTTTAGTGAAGAGAGAGGACCACTTATCCTAGCTGAGAAACCTGCGGTGTGGTCACAAAGCACTAGAGGCTCCGAAGTGTGTCCCCACTTCGACTTCAAGAAGCACTGGACCTGCTGCCACTGATTAACCTGCTGAGCAAACACCCTGCTCCCATGCCCTGTGTGGTTAATAGTGGTTGGAGGGCTTGCGTTTTGGGGGGGGTCGGAGTGGCAAAGGGCCCCCACAGCTTGCTTGGGCTGCAAGCAAAGGGATTCACTCCCCAGCTTCTTCAGCAGTACACAGCCCTCTCTCGCTTTCAGCCAGGCACTTCTGCAAAAAAGGGGATCTCTCGGGTCATTTCTTTCCAAAGACCTGACAAACCCAAAAAAACTGTCCAGTGTGACCGTTTTCACGACATATCACGTCTTGTTTTTCAGCTTTCATCCAACTTCTGAGCTCGGTCTGACCTCTCCAACATCTCAGACCTGTCTCTTGTACCCAGCGGCTGCTGCTCCAGCGGCAACACGGTCTCGGCATAGATCTTCCAAAGCTTCCGCAGCACTGCGCGCCTCGGCACGCGGCACGTGACGCACGCGGCACCGCACGCGGCACCGCGTCGGCGTCCGACTCCAACGGCGCCACATCTTGGGATCCCAACTGGCTCCCGCGATCTCGTTTCAGCTCGGCCTGGTGCCCGGGTGTCGCATCCAGCGTTAGTCTAGTGGTATTCATCGATGGGGCAGCTGGTATCGCCTGGGCCCGGAACTGGGATCTACGGCTGGACTCAAGTCGCAGGATCAGTTTATGCGCAAAGGAAGACAACTGACCTACAAGGGATATGGCTAGCCTACACTGCTAGCGGTCACCCCCCATCAAAAACATGCGGCGCGGCCCTCGTGTGCGCAACGGTCTGCTCTCAGCCGAACCTAACCATGGCTCCGGTGGATTCTTCTCAAAGCCAGAGACGTCATGATCCACTTTAAGACGAAACATGGCTCCGGATGTTCCGTTCAGAGCCAGGAGAGCAGCCCAAAAGATCCGGGATCGGTAAAGATGTGGGCCAAGCAACAACTTTAGAACAGGTCGCACAAGCCCGACGCCAGCTTTTCTACGACGAGATGCAAGAAATGCAACTCCGAAAGTCGATCGACTTCAGGAACGGACCAACACCCCATTTTCACACACGGACCTAGAGCCTGAGTGACCTCGATTTTGGAGCAGCAACTAACCCATATGGAGGTCAATTGAGCTCTAGGCAGATAAAGGTGTGTGCTGTGTGCTGCCTGATGTTCCCTGACGGTCACGACGCATCCAGCGAGTGACGTCTTCTGGTGACGGAACGTGCGTCGCCTTCGTCTCGGGTCGCGTCGCGCCTCATTCATCTTCGTGGGCGTCTCCTGCTGCACCAAAGCCGTCTCGCGGGACTCTCTCACTGGCGAGTCCATGGAGACGATCTTCGCGGTGTCTCAAAAGCGGCGGAGCGGCAGAACAATGCCGAAGTTCGAGAGCTGGAGCTGGAGTTCTGGGAAAATCCCCCCTAGACTTGAGGATCTTGTTGGCTTTTGAATTCGGTTGAAGAAACACTGTATGGGCTGGTAGTCGTTGAGGCTCTCTTGCCAGGGGGGTGGCTGACTTGATCTATTTCTCTGTTTGGTGGCTCTTGTTTGGAGGCCATCGCTTCTAGGTTAGTTCTGATAGCTGAGAGTTAGAGTTTCATACAGTTTCATGAGTGTGGTGCTCAGGCTGGCAAGCTGAGCCCTCCAAGTATAGAAGTTGGTCGAACACCTGCATAGAGGAGGAGCTTACCATGTTCCCACCAGAATAGGCCATGGATGTGTCAGTTGAGAAGTGGTAACAGCCAAGAAACTGTTCCTGTTCGTGTCGTACCTGGCTGTGCCAATGATGGCTCACGTGTCTTCAGTCTTGATCCAACAATGCAATCAGCCGCAAGCAGCCCATGATCCATTGACCTTTTTGGGGTTGGACTACTGCATGGCGAGATCTGAGCTAAAGAATGACATTCATTGCCACCATGCTACTGAAACATGAAGCACCCAAATGGAACAAACAAACCTTGAAACATGCATCGACCATACTAGTATATATATATATTGATCATTCCTCCGTTCCGGTCTGTCCAGTTGGATTGTGTTTAGCTTGTCTCAAAAGAAGTACCTGCAGCACTTTGACCTATATACCGAAAAATGAAGATCTGGCCGGTGGTCCTACTTTCCGGCTGCACATCCC